AAACGAAATTTATGGTGAGGAAATAACAGAGTAAAAAAGATTCTGAAACAGGAGTTAGCAAATCATATATAGGAAAAGGAAAGCAGACATATTTGACTAGAGCAGAGGCCTCCCTTGAAAATAAATTAGAATTTTCTTAAAGCAGCAAGGGACCAGACCACTGGAGTTAATGGATTGGAAGGAGTATTTTGTTGTTTGAGGGGTTTCCTGGAAACCTTGTTTATTATTGTGTCTCAAAAATTATCATGAAACCTAAACCATTGTTTTTCAAATGAATTTTTGGAGATAGGCTGTTTGTAAATTAGGACCAGCCCAGAAGGTAGTGTGGTGAGAGGGAAGAGCTCTGTATAATGGTCAAATGACTAATATGTAGTATCCCAAATAGCAATTCTGTGAAAAGCCACTGCAGGTGCAAGTTTATTTAAAAACAGACTACAACACAGGTGCAATTCTCCTTATAAACATTTAACCACAAAACACTACCCTGAAAGTCTATGTGGAAAGCCATTGGGAAAGAAAGATAATTCAGTTTCTTGTTTGTTTTAATTTTTAAAAGAGTTGAGGATGAAATTTCTTTCTCATAGTTTGAATTCTTTTTAAATTTAGTTTTTGCCTCCTGATATCTACATATAAATTTTACATATGCCGTGATTGGAGGCAGATCAATACTTGAAGAAATTCTGTAGCAAGAACCAAAATGTTTAGGGTTAAAAAATGTCAGTTAGAAGAAATTTCTCCATACAGATGTGAAAAAAATACTATTGATGACTTTTGGTTTTGTGGGAAGTGAAAGAGACTGGAAGTTAGGAGGCTTAATGCTCTACTGTTAGCTTTAGAATGACTAAGATTGATTGAAAAATTCAAAATAGATTCTAAACTTGTACAATTTAAATGGGAAAAAAGTTCCTCTTATCAATATAAAGAAGTGCATGGTGTCATTACTATGGTTTTCCCTTTCATCATTTTGCTGTAGCTCCAGGGTTCTTTTTGTTTGTTTGTTTTTTGCTATTGTCCTGGGCAGGCCAAGCTCTTTCCTATCTTAGGCCTTATACTTGCTGTTTCCTTTCTTCTTGGGATAGTGTTTGTCTGAGTCTGTGGAAGGCAGAATAATGTCCCCTCAAAAATGTTCATGCCCTAGTCCCTAGCACCTGGAATCTGTTACCCATTACATAGCAAAAGAGACTTTCAAATGTGATTAAAGGTATTGGCCTTACAATGGGGAGATTATCCTCAATTATCTGGCTGGGCCCAATGGAATCACATGAGTCCCTAAAAGCAGAGAACTTTCCCTAGCTGGAAGCAGGAGAGAGATGGCAAAAGCCCAGGTTAGAGACATTTGAAGCTTGAGAAGGACTTGACCCACTGTTGCTAACTTTGAAGATCAAGGGGGCCACTAGTCAGGGAGTGTTGTCAGCATCTAGAAGCTGAGAACAAACTTCAGCTGAGAGCAGGCAAGGGAATGGGGACCTCAGCTTTAAAAGTGCAAGGGACTGAATTCAACCAACAACTTGAATGAACTTGTCAGTAGATTTCTCTACCAGAGCCTCAAGATAAGTTAAGACTCAGGCTGGCTGACACCTAGGTTTCCACATTGTGAAATCAGAGCAGAGGAATTAGTTTACCCAGACTTCTGACTTAAAGATCTGTGAGGTAATTCATTTGTGTTGTTTTAAGCCACTCAATTTATGATAATTTGTTATAGCAGCATAGAAAGCTAGTTCAGGCTTCTTCTCACTTGCTCCTGTTTCAGCTTAGATGTTACCTCTTCAGAGAGCCCTTTCCAGAGTATGTCTTCTAAAGTAGGCTACATCAACCCTACCCCAGATGCTCTCTGTCACACTACAGTTGTCCTCTGGTATCCGTGGGGGATTGGTTCCAGGACCCCCTGGGGATACCAAAATCTGTGGATGCTCAAGTCCCTTATATGAAATGGGATTTATATAAAATGGGTCTGCAGATTGCGGATGTGGAACCTGTGGATGTGGAGGGCAGACTGTACTTTGTTTATCTGCTTCATTGCATTTATTGCAAACTGTGATTGTTTTATTTATTTTTCTCATCTGTCTTCTCCACTAGAGTATAATCTCTGGGAAGGCAGGGACAGGTTAGTCACGGTCAGCTATATCTTAGCACCAAGGATACAACATATTAAATACATATTAGGTTGGCAACATACATTTTTTGAAAAGTAATTTTTGATATATAGGCATACCTTGTTTTATTACACTTTGCTTGTGTTTTCTACAAATTAAAGGTTTGTGGTAACCCTGCATTTGAGCAAGTCTATTGGTGCCAACAATGTTTGCTCATTTTATGTCTTTGTGTCACATTTTGATAATTCTTTGACTATTTCAAACTCTCCACCAGCAAAATTACAACTTGCTGAAGGCTCAAATGATGTTTAGTATTTTTTTTTTTAGTATAAAGTACTTTTTTAAAAAAAATTTTTCTGGCTGCACCACATGGCATGTGGGCTCTTAGTTCCCTGAGCAGGGATTGAACCCATGCTCATCTTAACCACTGGACCACCAGGAAGTCCCTAAAGTACTTTTAAATTAAGGTTAGTACTTTTTTTTTTTTTTAGACATAATGTTATTGCACACTAAATAGACTATAGTATAAACATAACTTTTATATGCACTGGGAAACCAAAACATTCATATGACTCACTTTATTGCAATATTCACTTTATTGCAGTGGTCTGGGACCAAACCTGCAATATCTCTGACGTATGCCTATAATAGTAAATGAAATAACTCCAAATAGGGTAGTAGAGACTATGTGACAAACCATAGTATATCGACATTATGGAATATTACATAACTACTTCAAAGGTTAACATGTGTTCTATATAAATTTTTGGAAATTGGTGTATAAAATATACAAGTGACAAAGAGGAACACAAAATAGTTTGCATAAATGTATAATCATTAAAATGCATTTATATAGACTTTTAAAGATTAGAAATTAATTTTGGAAATAAATTTAGTATTCTTAATTCTGCCCTTAATTCTAAGCATTTGCTTAACCTGTAATAATATGCAAAATGTGAGGCCATCATTTAATTCTTAATCTACAAAATAGATCCAGGGTTAAGATTCTGAAAGGGAAGGGATAGGCATGCACTGTTTGGAGTGCTAATTGATCTTTCTTTGATACTGACTCAATTATCTTTAATTTATTATGAATATATAAGTTGTAAAGGATAATATAACAAACACCCATATACTACTACTTGATTCAAGAAATAAAACATTACAAATCCAATTGTAATTGCTTGTTTACTTCTTACCATTATTAAGCATATCTTTAAAATTTTTTTGATAATGATTCTCAATAAGTTATATTTGCTTTTGTGGAATTGGAAGGAGAGTGCTCTACAGGTGTTTTGGGAAGTCCAGACCAACCCAGCCAGGAAGGATCTCCCCTTCCAGGGGAGAAATAGATTACCAGTAGATCAAGGGCTTTAGCTTGCATTTGTCATAGAAAAACTCCCTCTTTAATCTTTGTGAGTAACTTTACGTACAATGGATTTGTGGAACTTTGAATGACTATCGGATGTTTTGGGGCTTCTAGGATGTTTAAAATTAATTGGTAACAATTATATATTTATTATACTATTTATAAATACACAACGAATTTTCCACTTTTTTTTTGGCTGCGTCTGGTTGCAGCACGTGGGATCTTTGTTGAGGCACACGGGCTCTCTTGTTGAGGAGTGGGAGCTCAGTAGCTGTGAGGTGTGGGCTTAGTTGCCCCACGGCGCGTGGGATCTTAGTTCCCCGACCAGGGATGGAACCCGCATCCCCTGTGTTGGAAGGTGGATGCTTTACCACTGGAGCACCAGGGAAGTCCCCAGAATTTTCCACTTTATCTTGCTTCTCTTGGAGATCATTTTTGCAGTTAATGATTCTTGGATCTTTCCTCCAGTGCTAATAATGATCTTCCCTCAGTTTATTTTCCTATGTTAATTCAAAAATTACTTTTGTATTGTCTAGTGTCTCAAAGGTATAGAAAATAGATATATAGAGAGAAGGTGTAAAGGCTTTGTTTCTGATGACTCTGTAACATATTTTAGAAGTTATTTTTTGGAGCTGATTTGGGCAATACTATTTACTACCGAAACCAGTTTTTCATATAAAGTTCAAGGGCAAATTGGAGCAGTGAATTGTTAATACTAAATGTAGAATTTAATCCATTAGAAGGAAAATCAAGAGTGTTGAGCTACTTCTTGGATTTAAAGCCAAGAAGTCTATTAAAAAATATCATCCTTTTAAGTGTTTAACTGGAAAACTGCTAGGATATCAAGGATCCTTTTATATTATGGAAGACTTTCAAGGAGAGAAATCACATGATATTAAAGATAGAGGCTAAGGAGAGATTGATTACTTATGGTAAGTATTCATGCTCTCCTTATGGATGAAATGGAGAATTACAGTCTGTGTGATAGTATGGTATTAACTTGATAGTATGGGTTAACTTGAAATGAACTACTATACCCAAAATGTGCTTATTAATGAATTGTTGTTAGCTTGGAGGGGGACTTTAGATGTATGCCATAGAAGTCTATCTTCAGCACTATGCCACTGTACCTTTTTATTACTGACTTAAATGAGGATTCTGGTGGCATGTATATTAAGTTTGTAGATGCTGTGGAGCTAAGAGAAATAACTAACGTGCCAGGTTTCAAAATCTGGACTCAAAAAGAATCTAATAGGTTGTAATGTTGGTCTGAGTTTAGTAAGAGAAAACTTAGGGACTAATGCTAAATCTCACACCCAAATCCCAACTGTTCAAGTATGAGGAAGTTATTACTTTATAGAAACACTTATTATTTTTTTTCCAACAAAAGGTTCACATATTTATTACTGAGCTACACAGTGAGCAGTGGTGAGGAAAGATCAAGAAAAGAGGAGAGGGCATCAAACACAGGTGGCTGTTCCAGACACTAATGATGTTCTGATGCGGTAAGATACAGTTGACCTTGATAGCATAAGTGTGGGCCACTTCATATGTGAGGCTCCTTATAGACCCAGCTTGGTTCTTCTCCAATGTCTTCTCTTAGAGTTGTACCTGATTTTATTACCAGTTTTTATTTGAATCCACTGGGGAATGGGACGATTCTGCTTTTGTTTCTTGGCCAGGAATCTCTTGATCCTGAAAGTCTTGTGAGAAGACATGGCGAGGAGCAAATCCAACCGCACATAGGATGGCGGACAAGAGAAAAGACTAGAAACACTTATTTTTTGAAAGAAGATTTTAGTTGACTGACATGTAATAGAAGCCAATAGAGTAACACAGTTGTCAAAAAAGAGATACTATAATCTTAAGTATCATTTATTGAAAAATGTTATATTCCTGCTGTGTTTTGTACTTGGTCAAATAACACTTGGACAGTTGTATACATATCTGGACATTACACTTTAAAAAGTGACATTGACACTATGGAGCCTGTCCAAAAAAGAGATGAATAGTATTAGAGGACTTAAAATTAGACACAGTTTTCAATGCCTTGTGAAGATGTTCTCCATTCATCCTTTATTCAGTAATATATTTTAGGCAGTCCTGTGCTTCGTTCTTGGAAACAGAAGTGAGCAACAAGACAATGCAGTTCTCAAGGAGCTTTTATTCTAATGAGGAGGAGACAGATACTAAGTAAACAAAATAAGATATTTGAACAATGATAAATACTATGAGGAAAATAAAATAGAGTAATATGACAGTGACTGGTAGTTAAGATGATTAGCAATCAGAGAAATTGTCTCTGAGGCAATGACATTTGACTTGAGACTTCAGTGATGATGAGGGGCCAACCATGCAAGGATATGGAAAGTGTTTCATGCAGAGGGACTATAAAGTACAAAGGCCCTGCACAGAAGTAGCTGCTGGAGAATGATGAATGAAAGGGAGAGTTGTGGGAAATCAAGCAAGATAATGAGTTTGAATTTATTCTAAGTGTAATAAGAAGCCAGTAGAGGGTTTTAAGTCAGATATGATCTCATTTACCTTTTGAAAAGATCACTGCTGAGTGGACAATGAGTTATGGGGGTAAGACTGGATGTAGAGAAGAGTTTAGAGCAGAAAATAGTTTAATGAGTAATAAACATGAGACCATTTTTTCCTCCCAATCATTGCTTCCAATTACTGTAATTAAATTTTTCTTTGCCTTACCTTGACAAGGTTTTAAAAAGATTCAATAATTTTGGTAATTTTCCATTATTAAATGTTTGGTTTATTTGCTGTGAACCTGTGAAACTGTTGTAAAAAGTAGTCTATTAAAAAAACCCCTCGGGCTTCCCTGGTGGCGCAGTGGTTGAGAGTCCATCTGCCGATGCAGGGGACACGGGTTCGTGCCCCGGTCCAGGAAGATCCCACATGCCACAGAGCGGCTGGGCCCATGAGCTATGGCTGCTGAGCCTGCGCGTCCGGAGCCTGTGCTCCACAACGGGAGAGGCCACAACGGTGAGAGGCCCACGTACTGCAAAAAAAAAAAAAAAAAAAACCCCTCTAGTTCAGTCTAAAAACTTTTATCTCATACTTTATGGAAACACTTATTTTTAAAAGAGAAGTTTAGTTGACTGTATAACTGATAGAAGCCAAATAGAAGCCAACAGTGTAACATAGCTGCCAAAAAAGAGATACTGTAATCTTAAGTAGTATTTATTGAAAAATGTTGTAGTGTTGCTTTTTGTTAATTTCAAGCCTCTGGCATCTAATTCAAACAAGATGGAATGGTAGAGACCAGATTTGCCCTCCTGCCTGGAACAACTGACAAAATCTATGAAATAATGATTTTTAAGACATTGTAAATTAGGCAACAAAGGACAGTGATCTCTGAGAAACAGAAAACAGATGAGGAGACCTCTGCAATTGCCCCAGCTTGCTTCCTTGAAAGAATTTCTAGGCCATGGCTTTACTGGTGAAATCTGCCAAACATTTAAAGAAAAAAATAATACTAATTCTACACTCTTCCAGAAAATTGGGGAGGAGGAAATACTTTTAATCTTAGTCTATTGGGCCTGCATTATCCTGATAAAACCAGGCAAAGACATTACAAGAAAAGAACATTTCAAACCAATATCCATTATGAACATATATGGAGAAATTCTAAGCAAAATTTTAGTAAGTTGAATCTATCAATTTATGAGAAGGATATTACATCATGATTAAGTGGGGTTTATCCCAGGAATGCAAGGTTAGTTTAACGTTTAAAATCAATGTAATTTACCATATTAACAAACTAAAAAAGGAAAATCATATGGTCATCCAGCAGACAGAGAAAAAGCATTTGAAAAAATACAATATCCATTACTGATTAAAAAAAAAAACTCTCAGCAAACTGGGAACAGAAGGGAACTTCCTCAACTTGATAAAGGACATTCAAGGAAAACCTAACATCATGCTTAAAAAATGAATTCTGAAGATGTGAATGTTTTGAACAGCTTTATTGAGATGTAATTGGTATACAATGAACTGTACACATTTAACCATACAATATGATAAATTTTGACTTATATGTGCACTCCTGAATTCATAACTACATCAAGATAGTGAACATATCCATCCTCCCTAAGAGTTTCCTCATGTGCCCTTGTAATCCTACTCTCCCTCCCTTTTCTCCCTGTCCCTACCTTCCCAGGCAATCACTGATCTGCTTTCTATCACTATAGATTTGTTTGCATTTTCTAGAATTATTTATATTAAAACATTATGTATTTTATATGTAACACTTAATATAAAATTTAATATCATACATTAAAATATATTTTTAAAGAATCTTTAAAAATATATGATTATATATTTTATAATATATTTAAATATTTTAAATATACAAAATATATGGGATCATACAGTATGTACTCTTTTTGATAATTTTTCTGGCTACTTTCGCACAGAACAATTATTTTGAGATTCATCCACGTTGTTGTGTATCGCAACAGTTCATTCACTTTTATTGCTGAGTAATGGATATGCCACAATTTGTTTATCCAGTTTTTTTTTTTTTTTTTTTTGCGGTACGCGGGCCTCTCACTGCTGTGGCCTCTCGCGTTGCGGAGCACAGGCTGTGGATGTGCAGGCTCAGCGGCCATGGCTCACGGGCCCAGCCGCTCCGCGGCATGTGGGGTCCTCCCAGACTGGGGCACGAACCCGTGTCCCCTGCATCGACAGGCGGACTCTCAACCACTGCGCCACCACGGAAGCCCTATCCAGTTTTTTTAATAGACATTTAGGTTGCTTCCAGTTTTGGGCTATTACAAATAAAGCTAACACTTTTCCCAAGTGTCCTTTGCCTCCCCCTCCAAGTCAGAAAAACTTTGGATATATTCTTTTTCTTCCTTTTGGCTTTATTGAGAAATAATTGGCATATAATGGTGTGTAAGTTTAATATATATATCACAGTTTCTTTATTTGTCTCTGTGTGGACACTTAGGTTATTTCCACATCTTGGCTATTGTGAATAATGCTGCAATGAACATGGGTGTGTAGATATCTCTTTGAGATAGTGATTCAGTTTCCTTCGGATATATACCCAGAAGTGGGCTTACTGGGTTGTAGAGTAGTTCTATTTTTAATTATTTGAAAATCTTCATATTGTTTTCCATAGCCACTGTATCAGATTACATTCCCACGTACAGTACAACAGGTTTCCCTTTTCTCCACATCCTCACCAGTATTTGTTGTCTTTTGTCTTTTTGATAAGTCATTTCAACAAGTATGATGTTATATCTCATTGTGGTTTTGATTTGCATTTCCCAGATGATTAGTGATGTTGAGCACCTTTTCATGTACTTGTTGGTGATTTATATGCCTTCTTTGGAGAAATGTCTATTCAAATCCTCTGCCCATTTTAAAATCAGATTTTTTTTCTGCTATTTAGTTGTATGAGTTCCTTATTTATTTTATATATTAATCTTTTATCAGATATGTGGTTTACGAATATTTCCTCCCATTTCATAAGTTGCACTTTCATTTTGCTAACTGTTTCTTTTGCTGTGCAGAACCTTTTTAGTTTGATATAGTCCCAGTTGTTGATTTTTTTTCTTTTTTTGCTAGTGCTTTTGGTGTCTTAGCCAAAAATTATTGTCAAGACCAATTACAAGGAGTTTTTTCCCATCTGTTTTCTTCTAAGAGTTTTATGGTTTTAGGTCTTATGTTTAGGTCCTTAATCCATTTCAAATTAATTTTTGTGAGTGGTGTAAGGTAGAGGTCCAGTTTCATTATTTTGCATGTGAATATCCAGAAGAGACTGTCCTTTCTCCACTGAGTATTATTGTCTCTCTTGTCAAATATTAGTTGACCATACATGTGTGGATTTATTTTGGGGTTCTCAATTCTGTTCCATTTGTCTATGTGTCTGTTTTCATGCCAGTATCCTACTGTTCTGATTACTAATATAGATTTGTTGGATATTTTCATTCATACCTTATAAGGGTCATATAGCAGGAGCCCATATCAGTTTCTATGTTTCTACATGCCTGCAACCCAAGCGGATATGTGAAGCTCTCCCAGGAATGTTTTCCTTAAACTTCATTGCAACTGATAGCCCCAAGTTGAGTTTGCATTTTCTGCAACTCAACAAGGCGTGACCAACATAATGTTGGTGATAATTGTTATGATGATGATAATAATCACTGGTACCTATTTAGCACTTAGCATATGCCAAGATCTGTTTTAACTTCTTTATATGTAGTAATACATGTTAAGCCTCACAACAGTCCTATGAAATATGTATTGTTATTATCCCCATTTTATAGAGAGGGGAATTGAAACATAGAGGTTAAATGATTTGACCAAGGTTTGCCTAGTGTCTCACAAATAGTAAGTGGTGGATTGGGTGGTAAACGCAAGCAGTCAGACTCAGAATCCTTTGTATTCCATTGGCCAAAAAGTTCGTTCGGGCTTTTCCGTAACATCTTGCAGAAAAACCCGAACGACCTTTTTGGTCAGCCCAATATTAACTATTATGTATATTGTTTCTCAGTTTCCCCTTCTTGCAGGGTTCTTGATCTCTTTATTTTCTTGATTCTCTCCCTCACTTACCTTTGGGGAGAAAAGAACACCTTGTCCTGCCCCCCTCTCAAAAGTAAAAGGGGGAAAATCTCTTACCACAAACAGTGCTATTTCCAAAAGGCCAACAGCTTCTGTGATAGCATTCCCCTTTTCCCTCCAAAGTTCTCTAAAGACTAGAGGATTGAACCTGGAAGTGGTGGGGTAGTGATGGTAGTAAGTTGAGTTCTGTTGCTTCTTGTTAAGTCTTGGAGGAAGTATCCAACTCTCTTTAGAATTTAGGGTACTTGGCCATTCTTGTTTGTCATCTGTGAGTCTGAGTTGCCAATGCTGGGGCAAAGGAAAAAATCACTTTTTATTACTGAGGCTATTATAGTAGTCTAGGAAAGAAGACAGAGGCTTGGACTAGGGTAGCAGTGAAAATGGAGAGAATCATAAAGTTGGGATATATTTTGGAAATAAAACCAACAAGACATGGTAGTAAATTGAATATGAGGGAGAAGAACAGAAAGGGATCAAAGAAGAGGATTTTGCCTTGAGTAACCAGGTAGATGGAGGTACCACTTACCGAGATGAGGAAGACTAAAGATGAAAAGAGATTGGAATGGAAGTGTGAGGGTGGCTTGTCATCAAGAGTACTGTTTTGCCTGGTTAAGTTTTAGGTACCTGTATCAAACAGAGAGTTGGATACAGGAGTTTGCAGCTCGATGGGCAAGGGAAAGTCTACAGTTATAGATCTGAAAGTCACAGCATGTCCTATACTCAAA